AAAAAAAAAAATATCTGCTCCTCAGGCCAAGATTTGGGAGAAGACTAAATTTCAAGGTGCTGAGCCGAACATTTAAAGCTACTTATATCCCAGAAGCATTTGCTGATTCCAGAAAAAGTGCTGAGAAGGTGAGTAGCACTCCTGACAATCATGTGAGGCTAGGAGGACAAAAGTTGGAAACCATCAAAGGGAGGGCCCTATTAAATCCCCTCATGTCTTATTTGAATTGGAGTAAAAAAGGGTTGAACCCTAAAAATGAGAGCGAACCAGAAATAAATCAGAACTTGTGTAACTGCAGACCACTAGGTAGCCAGAAAAATCTCAATCCTTAACATTTATTCAGATTATTCTATTCTGCTAATGGTCCCAGGTTCCTGACAGAAGTAAGTATAAATTCTCAGAAGAAAAAGATATTATCATCTAATACCTCAGTTTAGAAAAACTCTCAAATGGACTGCCTGGCACAGGATCAAATATAACCTGGCACATAAGGAAAGAAGCCAACAGAAATAAGAGCCAATGGAACCAGCAGAAAACAATAGATAATAGTGACAGACTCACAGGGCCCCTAATAGTAGGATTATCCAGCAGACTTTCAAGTAACTATACTTAATATGGTCAAGAAGATAATAAAATTTAAAATTTCAGGACTGGAAACTACAAAAAAAAATGATATGAAGATTATAAAAAGAATAAAAATGAGGTTTTAAAACTAAAATAATATAATAATTCAAATCAGTAGTTAATGGGAGGGTTTTACAGCAGATTAGCCATGGTAGAAGAGAGAATTAGTAAACCGGAAAGCAGTTCGGAGGAAATCAACTCTGTTCACATGAAGGACAGATAGATAAAAAATGGAAAATACAAAGCAGACTGTAGGCTATAGAGATTATAATATTAAAGTCTGACTTGTTTCATTAGAGTGTTAGAAGAAGAGGAAAAAATAAATGGGGCAGAAAATGCAATGACAGAGAATTTGCTAAATGTGATGAAAGACTTCAATACACATATATTTAAGAAGCTCAGCTCTGGCTGGTGTGGCTCAGTTGGTTGGAGCATTGTCCTGTACACTAAAAGGTTGTGGGTTCGATCCCTGTTGGGATGCAAACAGGAGGCAACCAATCGATGTTTCTCTCTCATATCAATGTTTCTCTCTCTTTCTCCCTCTCCCTTCTCCTCTCTCTAAAAATCAATAAAGAAAATACTGAGAATTGTTGTTTTTTAAAGAAGCTCAATAAATCCCAAATAAGATAAAGCAACAACAATAGACGCAGCTTGGTACAGGTGGGATGACCAAAGATAAGCAAAAATTCTTAAAGGCAATCAGAGAGGGCGAAGAAGGCAGTTGCTTTCACGATACCAACAATTAAATTGTTAGCTGACTTATCAGGAAAAACAATGGAAGCCAGAACACAATGAATTATATCTGGAATGGGTTGTAAGAAAATAATAGGCAAATATCTTTCATCAATGAAGATGAAATAAAAATATTTCAGAGAAACATAAACTGAGAGAATTCACCACCAGAAGACCATACAAAAGCTTTTGTTCTGTATCTTTTGCTATAATAAGCTTTGTCCATAAATATCTGCTGTCATTGAGTCTTATGAGTACTTCTGGAGTATCACTGAAGTTGAGGGTGTTTGTGGGACCTCCCTCCCAAAACAATACCCAACCAAAATACATGCACATGTGCACCAAGAGACATGAACAGGACTATTCACAGCACCATTACTTATAATAGCTCCAAATCAGAAATGATCTAAATGTCATTCAACAGAATTGATAAATAAATTGTATTGTATTCATGCAATGCAATATTACACAGCAATGCAATTCAATGAACAACAGCTTAAGCCAAAATCAAGGATGATTCTCACAAATATAGTTTTGAGCAAAGAAGTAAGACATAAAAGAGCCTATGGTTTATGATTAAACTTATATAAAATTCAAAATAGCTAAAATTAAACAATAGTGTCTTACAATGCATGCTTAGGCTGTAAAACTATCAAGAAAAGCAAGGAGATGATCACAAAAGACAAAATAGAGGTTACCATGGGCAGTAAGTAAAGGGGGGCTGCATTTGGGAAGGGGTACACAGAGGGAACATGGTATGTTGGTGATAGCCTATTTCTTAGCCTGGATGGTGATTACAAAATATTCATTTTATTATAATTTGTTACAAAACAACATATTCACAAGGTTATTAATTGCAGTATTATTTATAATACCAAAAGATTTCAAACATGAAAAGCATCTATCAGTGTAGAAAAGATTGAATACACTATGGTACATCCACATATGGAATATTATGTACCCATGAAAAGGGATGGGGACAATCTCCGTGGACTGATGTGGGGTGATCTCTATTACACTCTTAAGTAAGGAAGTGAAAAACAGTATATAGATTTTGCTACCTTTTATATACACACTCATAAATATATCACACATATACAAAATTAAGACACAAACATGGGGATATATTAATTATACATATTCAATTTGTTTATTTTTGACATAAAAACAAACACTAGAAAGATAAATCAGAATATAAAAATAATGGGGATGGGAACAGTGGGTAATGAGAACAAAGTGGAGCGTGTAGGGAAGATTCTCTGAGTATAATTTTTCTACCTGATGGTGGCTCCAGCTGAGGTTTGTGCTGCAAATAAGCTGTGGTTTTATGAATCTGCCTGTTTCTCTGGTTGTCAGGGTGGTGGTTTGCTCAGTGACCTCAATTTTCTTGTAGGTATATGTTCCTACCTATAGCTGAAATTGGGGATTATGTGCTGTGAGCCAATCTAAGACTTGTTTACTTTTAATTGGCAGTTTTCAGACCATGTACTATTATGTGAGATATACTTATTTGTGAAACCCTCATATTGGGCTGTGGTTTTGTTGTTGTTGTTGCTGCTTTTTAAATTTTTGCTTTCACTATATGGTTATAGTTTCTTTGCTTTGTTAAAGGTTATATAGTGACTAAGGTAATAATAAGCATATTTAAAAATACTGTTTTAATCAATGAAGAGACAAAATATGGAGAAAATTTTTACAACACAGAAGGGCTTAATATAGAAAGAATCTTATAACTCAATAAAAATGGCCAATGGCAGAAATAAAAATGGGCAAGAGATATGAAAAGATAGTTCACAGAAAATAAAATACAAAGACTAGCAGCATAAAGAGATGCTCAATCCACTCACAGCAAGAGCAACAACGAAGGAAAAAATCTGACCCGAAACTCCAAGTTTCATCTCACACAAGGGCAACAATCAAAATATGTGCCGATGTGTTGTGCTGGACAGACGGTGGGGAAACAGTCATTCTCGTGTTAACCTCAGTCCTCTGAGAAGCAGAGAGCAGAACAAGCTTAAATGCACAGAGCTTTCATTAGGGGAAACGCTTATGAGAGAAGATGGGGAGGGGGCCGGGGTCACTGGGGAGAGCCATCGGACCACACTGCAAGTCTGACCAGAAGTGAGGGAAAGAGGGAAGAGACTTGGGTGGACCAGGCAGCCGTGCAGTCTCACTAGGGTTTGGCAAGGCCACGGGGGCCCCCTGGAACCTGCCTCCCAGGGATGGGCCTGCCTGGGATCCCTCTGTGCTGGCGAAGATTCTCTCCTTCGCCAAAAGCTACTCAGGCTCCCCTGAGCTCTCTTTCAGCAAGGCCTAATGTTTGGACTACAGTGTTTATTTCTGCATTATCCAGTCTAAGCAACAATTCTGTCAAGTCAGTTTAACCAGAATCCCCCACCTTTGGTATCTAATCACCTTCCATATCTGATTGGATACTTCATCCTCCACCCCCCACCCCCAGAGGATGTTCAATCACCCCAGCCCACCTTCAGCAAGGATCCTCTTAGGTCAGAATCCCCCCTACCCCTGATGGTTTGTCTTAGTAATTTTCTATTCGCTGACCTCACCCTGCTCCTTGGCTATCATTCCCACTTACCCATGCTGTATTCAGAGTTAAGTGCAATCCATCTTCCTGCAAGACCCCATTGCAGAGGTCCCTACAGTGATTGCCATGGACCACCTTCAATAAAGTCTGCCCTACTATCGTCAATAAGCATCACGAGTACTTTGATCTTTAACAGTGCTCAGTCACCAGCTCGGAGCAGCCCATGGAAGCATGGCCTCAAGCAAACATGCTATACATTTCAGAATGCAGCAATGGGGCCTCTGGGTCAGTAAACCGCCTGCCCCTGGAGACCTGAGAAGCACATTCTCACGGTTGGTTACAGCACTCGAACATTGCTGGTGGGAAACTAATTTGGTCTCAGGAAATGACCTCAAAATGAACTAGAAATTATTTCTAACTTAGAAATGTATACTCAGCCAAACTATCAATTCATTGTGAGGGGGAATGAATGTATTTTAAATATGAAGAACCTTTAAAAATTTTACCTCTCCTTCTACCCTTTTCTCGGGATGTTATTAGAGGATGTGCTCCAGCAAAACAAGGGAGGAAACTGAGAAAGCGAAAGGTTTGTGTCCTGGAAATAGGGGCTGCAACTCCAGAGAGGGAGACAGAGGTCACCCCTGGGATTGCGGTGGAGAGGGACACCAGGTGACAGCTGTACCAGCCTCGAAAGCACCCTGGCTGCCTGCAGTGTAGTAGAGATCACCCTATCTCAGTGCACCAGTATGAATAGTGTCCTTTTTAAAGGGGGAATTTAGGAACAGATACACTCACAGAGGGAGATGATGCAAAGACATAGGGAAAAGATGACCACCTACAAGCCAAGGATAGAGGCCTGAAGCAGATTCTCCCTCCAGCCTCAGAAGGAACCAACCCTTCCCACACCTGGATCTTGGACTCCCAGCCTCCAGAACTGGGAGAGAACAAATTTCTGTTGTTTGAGCCCCAGTCTGTGTGCTTTGTTATGGCAGCCTTGGGAAATGAACACACTGGGCTAGGACAGTCCCAAGTGCAGGATTTATTTAGGCTCTCATGGGTAAGGTGGTCACACAGACCTGCAACGAGGAGGTGTGGGCTGGGAAGAGAAGGCACACCTACTTTAATCTGTGAGGATCATATAAGGAAATGGAAGAAAACCTGTGACATGTTCCCACGAATTTGAAGGGCCGGGGCCATGATACATAGAAAATAAGGGTGCAAAATATAAACTAAGGCTTGTTTTACCTGTTCTCAAACAAGAGCTCAACACAGGGACACATACCTGAGGAGCACAGCTGTCATTCTCAGTTCCCCAGATGCTCCCAGCCTTTGCCTGAGGTCAAGGACATGCCTTTCTCTCCTGGGGGCAGACTCACTGCTTCGTCAGACTCAGAGACGGGAAGGTGTGTGTGGGGGGGTAGCTGCTTTTTCGTTTTTCACACTGCTACTTACAGCTCATCCTGGAAGCAGATTTTGGCATACTTGTCCCTGCCCCCGCCGCTGAGCAACAGGTAGGCATAGGTGTTCGGAGGACAGAGGGTCCAGTGGTGACATTTTTCCCTTTTGGGGGCTAGGGCTGTAACGAACAAGAACATGACAGGTCATGAGAGGACGTATTGGGTGAGCCCGCTGTTGACCACGCGTGCAGCTGCTCTGCCCCAGGACTTCACACCCACACGGCTCAAGGTCAGGAGGAGACACAGGAGTGGGGAAGACGTCAGCAATTTTCATTAGAAGCTTCAGAAATCCCCCTAAAGACGCGAAGTTCATTTAATCTGTTTTTGTCTTAAAATAACAAATATACAGAAGGGAGGGGATTTTCGTAGGCATAACAATTATTTTGTTGTTGTTAATCCTCACTGAAGAATATTTTTTTCATTGATTTAAAAATTTTTTTAGAGAGAGTGGAGGGAGAGAGGGAGGTGGGGGGAGGGAGAGAGAGAAACATCGATGTGAGAGCGACACGTGGATTGGCTGCCTCCCACACTCGCCCTGACGAGGGAGAGGGATCGAACCTGCAACCCAGGTACATGCCCTTGAGGGGGAATCAAACCTGCCACCCCTCAGTCTGCGGGCCGATGTTCTAACCACGGAGCGCTACCGTCCAGGGCTGCAGGCATAAAAATGTTCAGAGTTGGGAATCACCGCCCATAGCTGGCCGTCTAACTGACATCCTTGGTAGGCGATGGAGGGAGTCAGAGACCGAGTTAACCAGCCCTTCTAAACGCCCGGTGTCGGAGGCAGCTCCCAGAGGAAGCTGTGTCCAGGACAGACTTCCAATTTTGTGGGAAAATGGGGAACACCCGAGAGTAAGCCCTTTGAAGGCGACTCCAGGCCCAGCGCAAGTGGAGGCTCTNTTGGTAGGCGATGGAGGGAGTCAGAGACCGAGTTAACCAGCCCTTCTAAACGCCCGGTGTCGGAGGCAGCTCCCAGAGGAAGCTGTGTCCAGGACAGACTTCCAATTTTGTGGGAAAATGGGGAACACCCGAGAGTAAGCCCTTTGAAGGCGACTCCGGGCCCAGCGCAAGCGGAGGCTCCCGTGGTGCCGGGCCCCCGCAGGCCGTATGCAGGTCGTCTACCTGAGTCCCGTAGGCTCTCTGTGAAACCTCGCTAAACACAAACAGGCACAGCCAATTCCTAGGACGTTCTTCTTTGGCTTTATCATAAAAGGTTATTCAATCTGACAAGGAATGGCTTTTACAAAAGATTTTTAAATCATTACTCAGTTCTTTATATTTGTGCAAATTAATTGTGTATAATTTACTTCTGTATTAAAAATAAACCAGCCTATCTACTCACGAGATCTCGAGAAGGACAGATCATTACTTGAGCGTCCCACACACTATCAAATGTCATTTTTAATGGGCATTTTGTAATTTCACTTCATGCCGCATTCGAGTTGTATTCCAAACACATATTTTTCTTTAACGCAAGCGGCATGTTAAGTTTGTTTGTTTTCCTAACAGCATGAGTCTCGGGGAGACTCTCCCGGGATGAGTGGGGGTTGGAAAGGTGCAGAGATGAAAGGAGCAGGTGGCACCTCCTCTTTGTCATCAACACTGAAGGTAAAGTGGCCAGAACCCCACTGCCCACCCCGGAGCTGGGGCCGAGCCGCGGTGATTAGCAGGCTGTGACCCGCGGCACTGACCTTTGAGGATGGGCCTCTCATTGATGATCCCGATGCTATAGACAGCACTGGACAGAGGGACGTCTGGAACGAGCTCTGCCACCAGGTACCCAGAATACCAGGCGCACATGGAGGCGAAGATGAAGACCAGTGCTCTCCGGACCTCTGGGGACAGACAGAATGAGAGGTGGACACCCGGGGTAGGCACCACCAGGCAGCCCCGCCCCGGGCTTTCCTAGCCCCCCACCCCATCCCAACCTGCAAGGTGCTCTGAAGAGAAGCCACTCCCAGGAGGTGGGGCAGGTGAGGGCCCGGGGCTGCTTTAATGAACCGAGCACCCTGATGACTTAGTTGGCTTTGCTGAGAGCAGGCATTTGAGGTGGACAGAAGCAGATAACACAAACAAGATGCGCATGTTTTCACCCTGACCTGTGTTGCTCAGAGGTTAGCGCATCAGCCTGCAGACCAAAGGGTCTCCAGTTCGATTCCCGGTCAAGGGCAGGCACCTGCGTTGCAAGTTCCACCCCATGACCCTGGTTGCAACAAGTGTGGGAGGCAATCCATAGGGAGAAAATATGCTCCAGTAAGGATTAACAAGCAAAAAAATAAGAAAGACATGAATGTTTTCAAGGCGGAAGGGAAGGGGAGAGACAGATGTCAGAGAGGCACATCTATTGGTTGCCTGACGCACGCATCCCGACCAAGGCCGGGGGTTGAGCCTGCAACTGAGGTACCCGCCCTTGCCTGGAATCAAACCCGAGACCCTTCAGTCCACAGGCAGACGCTCTAACCACTGAGCCAGGGCAAGGCCACACTTTTATGTCTGCTGCTGGTTTGGGTCTTAGAACTTCCTCAAATGTTAACGTCATTGATTCATCAAGTGGCCTTGGGAGCCACCATGCTGGATGTGGACCCTGCCTTGCCCGGCTCAGTGGATGGATGGGGTCAGGCGTTAGCTGTCCGGGCTGTTCCTCCATTCCACACATCCTGTCCCAGCCCTGCCGGACTCCATCGGCCAGTCCTGCCTGTTGTTCTAGCACATTATGGAGCCTGATGGAGTTGTGGAAACTCCCCAGTTCACAGCTGGTCGGTGGCAAGTGCGGGTGACCCCCAGACTTGTGGCTGGCGGCTGAGAGAGAGCAGCTGGTGGGGGCTTCGCTCTTGACCTGCAGGGTGTCACTAACTCTGGTGGTCAGTGTGAGAACTGAGCTGAATTTCAGGACACCCAGTTGCTCACCCAGCACTCTGAGCAGAGATGAGTGGGCTGCTCTCCCGGGCTTTCTTTTCCAAGTTCACAGCCATTAACACAGACGCAGGACTCCAACCTCCAGCACACAGTCCAAGGCTTCCTCCTCTCCGGGCGGTAATGACACGCACACCTGTGTCTGTCACTCTGCGCTCGGCCTGGACCTCAGCTCCCATCATTTCCCGCACCTACGGGTCTCCCTTTCCCGTGAGCGTAGCTGTCTGTGGTCCCCTCCACCACTCTGATTTATCGAGTCTGTCTGTGCTCGTGGGGCTGCCAGCTTAGGTAGCAACGCTCATGGAGCTGGATGCGTCTATCTCCAATTGATGACTGGGTCTTTTTCCAAGGGCATATTTCAGCATCAATAATTTTTTCTGTTTTCCAAACCGCACAGCCCCCAAGACTGTTAGGACGTTATGCAGGGAGGGCTACTGCCGTTTCTAGGACTCGAGGGGGCATCTCAGAGCTGGAAAGAGCAGCCACAGGAAAGAAACGAGAGTCCTGGGTATGAAGGTCCCTTCCCTGGAATCCCGTTGGCTCCCGTCAGCCACGCTGACTGCTGCGGCTGTCCCTCTCCTGCTACACAGCTTTGTGAGTCTGTCCCTCTGCCTTGGGGCGCTGTCCTGCACAGACCCCCACCCATCTCCTTCTCTTCCTCTTCAAGGCCCCCCCAACGTGTCGTGTGGCCCCACCTCCATGCAGCCTGCCACGCAACTGTGGCCTGCACAGGCGCCCTCATGGCCACCCTTAGCAGGCCTTGCTGGTGTGGCACACCGAGGGTCCCTTCCCTCCAGGACTGTGCCCACACACCTAGGACAGTGCATGGGCCACAGAATGTTCCAGAAAGTGCTGCTGGGTCCACACTGGGTGAACTGCAAGAGGCAACTGCCGGAAACCCGGAGTCAGCATCGATCGCTAGGTTCAGGGGAAACAACAGTCCGCTGTGTCCTGTGTGAGTCAGGTCACAGCTGGACTACTTCATCCAAGTGTCATATTTGCAGAAGAAAGTTGGCAAAGCAGAGACCATTCAGAGGATCTTCCGGTCACTGTGTCACGCGGGATCTTTGAGCAAAAAGCTGCTGTTTGGCTTGGAGAAGACTGAAGGGAACACAATGCTTTCGAATGTGTAAAGAACAGCCACACGGAAGGAAGACACAGTTTTGTACCCAGCTGAACAAGGACAGATGGAAGTGATAGGGAAGAAAATGAAGACCAGGGCTGGTCCACCTGCGAGGCGATGAGCTCCCTCCCTGCACACTTTCAGGGCTCCTAGGAAGGCTGCAAAGTATCTGGGCTGGGCAAGGGGTGCCACTGTGACCTCTGGCTGAGGACAGCCTGGTTTCCTGCGGTGGCTGGGAGAAGCCAAGACTAGAGCCAGAGCCAGTCCAG